CCTGCAATTGCATGCTGACATGGAATGCCTGTTAACTGCCATCTTCTACAAGCACACTCACACCTTATCAAGTCTACACTCCATTTCATTCCATCCCTATTACTAACCTCAAATTTCTCAGGTCCTGTATAGTCAGCTTTCAAATATCTTGCATCTAATTTAGCCTGTTCGATGATCTTCATAATTCTTGGACCAAAAGGTTTATCCCATCTTTCAGCTGCCTCTCTTTTAGCATTCATTATGAGCATTTGCTGATGTCTAATCTTCTCAAGCATTGATATTATTGGCTTCTCTCTAGCAACCAAGATGGATGAGTTGAAAGCCTCGCACAAGTTGTTCAGCAATATGTCACATTTTGAGTGCTCCTGAAAGTGTGATCTACTCCATTGGGATGCTGGTTTTTCACTAAACCATTTAAATGCTTCTTCACTAGCATCTTTTATGTCATTCATCACAGTCCTCCATTCAGGCACTGTGGTTGCCCTGGCTGCAGCCCAAAACATAGTTTTCAGTGTCAAACCCTTGTGGCTAAGAGTGAAATTACTATACAGATGTCTTGCACAGCATCTGTGTTCTGCTCCTTCACACACCGTGTTTATAGATTCCACTAACCCCTTTTGTTTATCTGAAATAAATGTTCATTCTCTTGGGTTGTGCATCCCTACATCAACTACAAGCATCTCAAGGAACCAAGTCCAGTTGGTCCTATTTTCAGTATCAACCACAGCCCATGCTAAGGGAAACATACAGTTATCTGCATCAATACCTACAGCCGCCAAAAGCTGCCCCCCTTGTCCAGTTTTCAGAAAACACCCATCCAATCCAATTACATGCCTACACCCAGCCTTAAACCCCTCTTTGCATGCCCCTAAGCAAATATAAATCCTTTTGAAAGTATTATCTTCTTCCTCTAATTGTACTGTACTCCCAGGGTTTGTCCGCTTCAACTCCTCACCGTAGTCCCATAATATTTTGTATTGCTCAGCAACAATACCATTAACTACTTCAGCACACTTTGCCCTGGTCCTATAAAATTGGTGCTTCGATATCTCATACATGCAATCCTCCTTAACTGTCTCTATGAAACTACCCATTGACATCTTCGGATCGGACCTAAACTTCCGTAGATATTTATCGGCAAGGTACCCAGTATGTACTTTTTTGTTCTGCCACACCATAGTACATGTATGCTCATCCCTAAAAGTGTTTATCCGTAAACTTTTATCTGCTTGTTCATAAGCATACAACTCCCATGGACATCCATCTTGGCACCGTACCCTAACTCTCCTTCCCTCATTCTTCACATAATGTATGTCCCTAGCATTCTTGACTGAGTATTGAATAATGGCTGACCTCAAAATCTTAACATTGTCAAACTTCATACCTGTGACGGGAATGAAAACAAAATCTTAGCATATTATTATTATTTCCCTAACTTATAGATACACATATTTCAAAAGCCTTAAGATGATTACCAATTTTAAATTTGGGATCCTCCATATCTGTAGCGGGATTGAACCAGCTGTCTTTCTTGTACCTTATGGATGATCCTCCATCTTCTTCATCACTGGGCAAACTTCTAAGATCATCTGAGTCGAGATAATCCGTTCCAGCATCACTTCCCTCCCTTTCCTCATTATCTTGAACATTGCCTGTGTCACCCCCAATATAAAATCCCTCACTTAGCCTGAAAAATGTGTTGTCGTCATCATTATCCCCGTGTTCTTCTTCATTCTGCTCATAGTCTGGATCGGTGAAGTTCTCTAGTAAACCATCATCAACATCAGCATCTACCCCATCAACATTATCAGTAGGCTGTTCAACAACATTGTCAACATCTTGCATATGACTAGGCTATTCCTCAGCATTGTCAGCAGCCTGTTCTTCAACACAGTCACCAGCATGTTCGAGAACAAAGTCAGTAGCCTGTTCTTCAACATTGGCAATGGCATCTTCAACAAAAATATTAGCATCCTGCTCATCTGACCTCATTTGAACACCAGCCTCAACAATATCCACACTTCCCTGATCCACCACCTCCACATCCTCAACAAAATCCACACTTCCCTGATCCACCACCTCCACATCCTCAACAATATCCACAATATCCTCTGCACCATGTACTACAATTTTCTCAGTTGATGGCTCATCCATCATTTGCACACTCCCCCCAACAGTATCCACACTTCCCTGATCCACCATACTCACATCAATAGCACAGCACAAATTTCAGGAGATGTGAAATACGTAGAATTATTGGCTGAAAATAAAAAACCAAAATCAGGTCTTCAAATACAACATCAGAACATGTACAATCACCTTGACACTCTTTATGTTAACAAAAGCACATCATTCACTGCCATATGCAAATTTTGAATAAAACCCAAACCCTAGTAGCGAAATGCAAGATAGAAATACGTTCAAGTACAGGCACCATTTCAAGAACATAATGCCGTCTCTAAAGCACATGGTTCACGCCAAATCACTGAAGATATTGCCATTTTGAAAACATAAAAAAAATTTAAAAAAATGATAACTAACCGTCGACTGGGTCGAGGAAGAAGCACGTACGATGGCAAGCAATTTCTGTATCCTCAAAATTTTCAGATTCGCGGTGATCAGTTGTTGAGCGGGAGCCAGTGTCGTGTTCTTCTGGTTCACCTTTCAAATGGAATTGAAAGGTGAGGGAAAGGTAATGTTTTGTTTGGTTGGGTAATGGGGTAGTATAATGGTTGTTTTGACAATTTTGCCCTCCAATTAACTTCCCATTTGAGTCAACATCCAGATTTTCCCTTTGACTAACGGAAATTCAGACGGAAGGTTTGATATGGACTAATGCTGCAACTACATATAAAAGTTTGGGACCGGCGCCGCAAAAATTAAAGATTTGGGTGTAATCTGCAGTAAAATGAAAGGTTTGGGACTGGCGCCGCAATTTTCCCAATTATTTATGAGCCTAAAATGTTGATTTTGAATATATTGAATAACTTTCTTATTATGATTTGTTTGGAAGAACTTTTAAGGGTCCGTTTGATTGCAATGGCGGAAAATGGGTAAAAAAAATGATTTTCAGGGAAATTAATTGCTTAGAAATTGTTTTGTAGGGAATTGTTAATTAAATGTATTTGATTGGTATAATTTTTCACCCGAAAAATTTTAAAATTTTCTATTTGTTCGGCTTTGTTTATATAGAAATTATTTATTAAAGTGATAATTTTTTCCACAATTGATTGTAAAATTTGTTTCCATTGCCACAAGTAATTTTTTTTTACTAAAAAAATCATTTTTTTAATCAAAATTTAGTGTTCGTTTGGTTTTGTTTTACATGAAAATTGTCTATTCAAGTGAAATTTTTTTTACAATTAGTTATGAAATTTGTTTCCATTGCAAGAAAAAAAATCTCCGTTTTCCCACCTAAAATTTTTTCCTTTCACGCCAAGAATTAGGCGCGTGAGTGGAATTTTTTCCTCACAATTTCCATGGCAAAAGGTGGACATCAAACACTGTCAATGATGAAAAATGGTCTATGTAAAATGCATGCTATTAAACACTTCCTTAGAGAAAAATAATCAAATGCTATATTTTTTTCATTAAACTTTTCTAATAAAAAGTAGAAGCAATACTGCAAAAGTAGAAACCTATCAAATGGGACCCTTGGACGCAAAAGATGAAAATTTAGCGAGTCAACTCGTTTGGGTCAATTTCAGTTCAGATTTTTAAGGATTGACATCCTATTTTGACGTTATTGGAGTGGGAAGGTGGAAATTTACTCTCAATAACAAAGTCTAACGTTACTTTATGGAATCTTTAGCATTCAAAGTATTTCAATTTTCAATGTAGGAAAACAATAAAATAATCTAAAAAAGAGCTAGTTAAAATAAAAGATAAATAAAAATAATAAATATTTTTTGGGAGTAGTAAAATAAGTGTCAAATATAAAGAGCTTGTTGGAGTATTTCAAAATTTTAACTCTCTAAATTTATAGATGCTCCCCAAATGATAGAATATGTTCTTTAAAGATAGAGAGTCTATTGAAAATGTTCTAAGGGGTCCATTTAGCAGATTTTTTAAAAAAGTCAAATTATTTATGAGCCTAAAATGTTGATTTTGAATATATTGAATAACTTTCTTATTATGATTTGTTTGGAAGAACTTTTAAGGGTCCGTTTGATTGCAATGGCAGAAAATGGGTGAAAAAAATGATTTTCAGGGAAAGTAATTGCCTAGAAATTGTTTTGTAGGGAATTGTTAATTAAATGTATTTGATTGGTATAATTTTCCACCCGAAAAATTTTAAAATTTTCTAATCGTTCGGCTTTGTTTATATAGAAATTATTTATTAAAGTGATAATTCTTTCCACAATTGATTGTAAAATTTGTTTCCATTGCCACAAGTAATTTTTTTTATTAAAAAAATCATTTTTTTATCAAAGTTTAGTGTTCGTTTGGCTTTGTTTTACATGAAAATTGTCTATTAAAGTGAAATTTTTTTAACAATTAGTTATGAAATTTGTTTCCATTGTAAGAAAAAAAACCTCCGTTTTCCCACCTAAATTTTTTTCCTTTCACGCCAAGAATTAGGCGCGTGAGTGGAATTTTTTCCTCACAATTTCCATGGCAAAAGGTGGACATCAAACGCTGTCAATGATGGAAAATGGTATATGTAAAATGCATGCTATCAAACACTGCCTTAGAGAAAAATAATCAAATGCTATATTTTTTTCATTAAACTTTTCTAATAAAAAGTAGAAGCAATACTGCAAAAGTAGAAACCTATCAAATGGGACCCTTGGATGCAAAAGATGAAAATTTAGCGAGTCAACTCGTTTGGGTCAATTTCAGTTCAGATTTTTAAGGATTGACATCCTATTTTGACGTTATTGGAGTGGGAAGGTGGAAATTTACTCTCATTAACAAATTCTAACGTTACTTTATGGAATCTTTAAATATCGAAGCATTTATTTCCTAATCAAAATTTAAATGCCGACAGAGATTAGAGTATGTGGGCTGCTTATGTTTTTTTAATCATTGGTGAGTGCACAAAAATACACATACATAAGCGCAGGCGCTTTTGAAAATTTATTAATAATCTCTGGCCTCAACTGCCTAATTCATTAATTCAAGCAATACCCAAATTGTCTTTTTATCTCACTTCACTTCCCCATTTAATCTTTCCGTTTGATATTGTCTTACATACGTTTATATACATATATGGTATCAAGAACTGAATTTTCAATATACTAAAGCAGTTCTTATTTTTTAATAACTTTATATAAGTGGAGATTGAATGGAGAACAATACAGGAAGCGATAGCAAGTTCAAGAAGATCTGTGTATTCTGTGGAAGCCACCCGGGTAACAGGAAAGTCTTCAGTGATGCTGCTATTGAGTTGGGCAATGAATTGGTGGGTTCCTATGAGTCAATCTTTGATTGAATTTTGATCTTGGTTTTAGCAACAGTTGACGATAATGTTTTATTGTTCTGTCTTTTGATGTCAAAACATTGACTTTTGTGTTTTGCTTATGGGATTCTCGTGTTTTGACTTCGTGTCAAATGGTTTTAGCTTTTCTATGTTCATAGAATCCCTTTGTATGTTTTGTTTGTGTTTTTTTATCATGGTATGGTGGATTTTTTTGATAACTCGTTGGACTTTGGAGAGTCTAATGATTATTTTAAGTTTACTATTGAGATTAGGGCTTAACCTTACTATCTCATGATTTTGTTCTTGTCAAGGTTCTACTTGGATGGTGGGATTGACTTGATTATTATGCTAATGATTTTATGCTTTGTGGATGTTGATGACAGGTTAATAGGAAGATAGACTTGGTGTATGGGGGAGGAAGTGTTGGGTTAATGGGGCTAATTTCTCTGAGAGTCTATGATGGTGGCTGCGATGTTCTTGGGTATGTAAGATTTATTCGGGTTTAAAACACTGTTAGTCACGGAATGGACGTAGTTGTTTCATGTTGGTCATCGAACTTTCACTTTTCTTTTTCCCGTTTAGGCACTCTGTTTGTCTTTATTTTCACAACACTTAGCTGGTTTATTGCTTCATAATTGCAGAGTCATTCCAAAAGCTCTTGTTCCTATTGAGGTAATTCCACAAAATGTTGGAACCTTATCCTATTCTTCAATAATATTTGAGCTTCAATAATTCATTAGTTAATTTCATTTCGCCGTCTTTATTAATTTGTATTGATAAGATGAAATCAGGTCCTAATTATCAATGTCTTTTGGGACTAGAGGACAGATAATGATGCTGTTCTTTTGATATTTCTTTGACATTTTCACTTTGCATTAGAATCAGTTGCTTGCTATTATCTCGGCTTTGCTAATCAAGGCATGTCAACTATACTTAAAAACTGCAATTAGCAGAAGCTACAATGGAAAAATTGACTTGAACTTTCATGGTTATGCACATTGTTGACTCCATTTAATACTAGTTCTCATTATGGAACTGTTTAAGTATGTCCTGCAGTGAAATTAGTTTAATTCAGATAAGGGGTCATTGATGAGTGATATTGACAGATATCAGGGGAAACCGTTGGAACCGTAAGAATTGTTTCCGACATGCATGAGCGTAAAGCTGAAATGGCTAGGGAGGCAGAGGCCTTTATTGCTCTTCCAGGTAAGTACATTGAATGCTAACAAATTTAGCCCCTGTTTGGTTTAGATAAAAATCAAATTTTTAGTATTTTTTGTTAAAAGTTGATAAAATGAGTGGTTGAAAAGTTGTGGCTCCCATGAAATGTGTGATTAAAATTAATTGTTGACTTTGACTTGAATTTTAATCCGCTTTTTTAGTGGAACCAAACATGGGCTTATTCTGAAGAGTTATTATGTTTTTCTCCATTAACTTATAGAGATTGGCATTTCCTTGCCCTAAATTTCTTAGGAGGATATGGAACCATGGAAGAGTTGTTGGAAATGATAACGTGGGCACAACTAGGAATTCATAAAAAGCCGGTGATGTATCTACCTGTGTCCCATTGGTTTAGGTCAATTGGATTATTTTCTAATGATTTGAGTAATTCTCTGACCAGGTTGGTTTGCTCAATGTGGATGGATACTATAACTCTTTGCTCACATTATTTGATAAAGGTGTTGAAGAAGGATTCATCAAGCCAGGTGCTAGGGACATTGTACTTTCGGCCCCTACAGCAAATGAGCTTTTAACAAAAATGGAGGTACTAAGTTCTGTCCCGGCTTCATTCGATTTCTTTTCAATTTATTAAAACCTTCGCTCATTGCTTTCCAGGCTTGGTGTATGAGTAACAAGTAGTAGGTCATGTCGATTTAACGGATTGTATGCATTAAATTAAACCAGACATTCATTTTTGTATTTATATAACATGGGCTTTTTTGATGGTCAACCAAGTGTTTCTTGAAGAGTAATGGATACTACTTTTCACTTTGTAATTTAATGATATCAAATCAAATTTAGATTGAAAATGCAGGACATCAAAGTTAAGCATGTAGCAATGGTCGAGTTAGAGGTATGTTCGTAGTGTGGAAAGTTGAATGAAAAGGACACGATGAGTTGAAAAGTAGAAGTGAAAATCGTATCCAAGGTTTAGATTGGAAGGAAAATTAGAACAGTTCCTTTTAACTCCATTCTACTATACCTTATTCTACCAACAAGTGGACTGAAAGTAGCTTTTGACAGACAAGGCAGGGACATTTCACTAAGTAGACTATCTGACCCTACTCTAACTTAGCAATACATCCTTGAGATCAGAAAATTTACCCGGTAAGATTACGATTGTGATAACGATAACTAGGATGAAAGACAAAAAAAATATCTCGTTCCTTCATGGGATTGGATATTTTTTATAAGAGAAGTATACTCAATAGCCTTTTCTCTATTCCCCTATGATTTAGACGGGAAAGCCCCGAGTCACGCTCACAATCTCCATATTTCTTCAGTTATATTGTTTCAAAGGAGGCTTACTGTACAGAAAAACTGATCTTCATCTTTTACTTTTCAGTTATATACTTCTTACCACGACCATGTCGCCCCACACGAAAGCTGGCAGATGGAGAAACTTGGGGATTACCCAACGGAGCGCAAGTCGTAATGAAATTATTGCTTGTGGTGTGATTAGTTTGTGTGACAAGAGCGGGTTCAGATGGGGCCTCATATAATGCATTACTATGTACCATTTTTCATCCTTTATGGTTTTGTATTCCAGCAGGAACTGTCATTCTTGTTTTGCATAGTGCCTCTGTTCTAATAGAATGGTCAATCACCACACTATTTTGTAGTCATATTAGCAGCTATTCACACTTGGCTATTTGAAATTGCTCAGTGCTTTTGAATTTTTTTTTTTACTTGAGTCCCATATGAATGTGATGTGTCCCACAATGAAATTTAGTATATATGTTGGCTACATATATACTACTACAGCATGTCCTATAAAAAGAGATTAATGGATTCAATTGTTTGTCAATAAAGGTCTGTTTGGCTTGGTTTTTAAAAGTCGGAACTGCTTATGAGATAAGAAGTTATTTTTGAACATATCTAAAAAAGTTTTTGGAAGTGATTTATCTTATTAGACGTGTTTTTAGAGGAAACATGCTTATGGTTACTTCGTCGGGAAGCTCTTCTATAAGAAACAGAAGCAAAAGTAGGAGTTCTGCCAAATAAATCCTAAATTATTGATAAGCTGCTTCATCAAAGTTTTTGCTTTCCTTCATCTTGAAAAAGATTTAGCCTATATTTGGTGTAGATTAAAAGTTGATAAAAATATTGAGTTAAAGTAAATAATTAATTTTAGTCACACATTTTATAGGATTCATAATTTTTCGATCACATATTTCCTTTTTTTCTTTTTCAATCAAAATTTATTAAAATTTTGATTTTAATTTACACCAAATAGTGGCTTACGATGTTATTGTGCTTGACCAATTAGAATTTGGTAATACTTTGACAAATGGATGTAGGATAGATATTTGAATGTTTACTCTGGCTAGCAAAGATATTCAATAGCTCCTTTTGCCAAGAGAGATGTACAAGCTTCGAGAAAATTAATGTTTTGGAGATATGCTATTTGTACAGAAAATATGCTGTCATAATTAATACAGAAGACACTTGACGATTTTTGATTGGACAATGAAAAAAAAGAAAAATTGACAAACCAAATAGATGTTTCCACAGCAGCATCAGTGTTAATTCTGACAGAATTGCTTCTGTAAAAGCAGAGAAAATCAAGGTGTGTTTGAGCCCCTTTAATTTTGAAAGATATATTATGAAATAGTAGATTGATGGAGAATGTGTGATTAAAAATAAAGGAAATTTTTTTGATTTACGTGTAATATTATTTTAATAAAGAATGTATGATTGAAAATGAGCACCGTATAAAAAGGAATGTGGTAGAATGTAAAATAATGAATGACAAAGAAGGGCTCAATGTTTTATAAGCCTAAATTGCTCACTGTTGTGAGATGCAACCCATTAGCATCTGTCAAGGGATTAAGTACTTGATGGGGGACAAAATAGCTAGGGGCACCTGACCCTTACAGATTCGATTTGGAAAAGGTCAAGATAGGGTTGGAGTGGGTGTTGGAGTTTTTAAGGTGGCTGTTTGGCTTGGGCAAAAGGCATAAATAGGGGCCCCTACACTTCAGTATAAGTGGAGACATTGGGCATCATGTGATCTTATCTTTTTCCATCTCTCCATATGCAACTGGGGAGAACAAAAATATCGCAAAATTGAAACAGTTGGTTTGAAATTGCATAGGTTTCGATAGTTTATATACTAGGCAGTGTCTTGTTAGGTACTGATCCTACTATGAAATAGTAATAAATATTTCTTGATAAATGTATTTTATACACTTATTTGGACTTAAAAATATAGACATCTAACAGTTCTTTTGAACAATCATAAGCTAATTCATTGTATTTTTGGTTTATTAGGTGGAACTCAATAAAAGGAAGTGGAATTGAAAGAAAGAAGTGAAAAATAGAGAAAAATGGCCAGATCTAAAGTTTAGGGACTAAAGTGTAAATACTCCAAAGTTGTGTCGAACCTCACGATGAAAATTCAAGAATGCAAGGGATCAATTAGAAGTCAAAAATGAGTGAAATATGATCAAAATATTTTCACAAATCAATTTTCAATGGCACATGTATATTCCAGAATTTTAATCAAAGATTGAGATCCATTTTTGACATAATAAACATTCAAATTGGAAAACACTATTTATAGCAAAATTGTAGCCCTTTGAATTATATTTTCAACGTAGTTTGAATATCGGAAGAGAAAGTTATGACGAAAATATTGAAAAAAACACATAGTGGGAGCAGCATGTGGCACCTCGGCGCCACCGTGGGCGCCTTGTGAAAAAAATCAGATTCACAGCACCACTACATGGGATTTTGAAGTGCAATTCATCAATTTTAAAAACTCAATTCAATAAAAACTCTTCCAAGACTCGAAAAAGATATAAATACAATTCTAGAGAACACAATTTAGGAGAGAAAAAAACACATAATCATCAAAATCAAAAAGCGAAAGCTAGGGTTTGAAGATTTTTTAGGTTGAAAAAGATTTTTGGTGTAAGATCCAATTCTTTCTATGATCAAACCTCGGTTATGAACTCTATACCTTTTATTTTGCTTTCATTATTATGAGTAGTTAAATCTATAGTTAGGACGAACAATATAATCTATGTGTGATTATTTATTTATTTTATTCAAGATTATAGTTCTTTAAATGCATATGTGCTAATTTTATTCATGAATTTAATACTTTGAATTCTTTGATCAATTATTCAATAATTTTGTGAATCTATTACGAATCGAGTAGTGTATTTTAGATTTAAACTATATATTGGCCAATTATTCAATGATTTTGTAAATCTATTACGAATCGAGATGTGAGTTTTAGATTTAGACCACATAATAAAATTTGATAATTTAGTATAACGTCTAGATATACTTCTATTAATTATTGCGATCATTATATAAATTTTTAGAACTAATATTTCGTTTAACTAAGATCGATTCACATAGAGATATGGAATTGAATTAGTTAAATAGATTTAACGAGAATTTGAGATAGGTAAATTGAATACTTTAGAAGAATTCGACCGAACACTACAATACTAATGAATCTTGATTGGCAAATTAAAGGGGATCCATAGGTAAAATTGTAAGTTCTAGCTTTCACTTTCATACTTTTAAAATCCAAATTTGATAAATTGTGTAAGTTAGATAATTGAGTTTAGTTAGAATAATTTAGACACCAATCACAAACCTTAATATTTGTTTTCGATTAAATTAAAGTTAGGAATAATTTAACCAATTGTTAGATAGTAGTTCTTGTGAGAATGATAACTGTATTCATTGATCCACTATATTACTTGTTACGATCCGTACACTTGCGGAATATAAAAATCGACAACATTTCTTAATTCCCACACCCGTGAACTCCTGCTTTCTTTTTCACACCACCAGTTCTCCATTTCGTACAGTTGCCCTCCCGTCCCACGACCTTTCCTTTTCATCTCCCATTTCATCGCTTCCGTGTAACTCATAACATCTATCTTCAACATAGCACTTTTATGGCTAGGGATGGCAAAAAAAACTTATTCAACCCCAAACCCGTGGGGCCCCGCCCCGAACGGGGCGGGGATTACCCGCCTAATAAGGTAAATGGGGTGGGGACTGGGCAAGGGTCATTGTCCGGAAGTGGGTATGGGGCGGGTATGGGAATCATAGTCTTCATCCCGCTACCTGTCCTGTTTAAAGTTAATTTTAAATTTAGGATTTGTGTGGGATTGATTAAAATTACATTAAAATCCATTTTATGACCGTTGAAGCCCAATAAAGGTAACAATTCAGAGGTTTCGGCTGCTGCTTGTGTTAGAAACAGTCAAATAAAACAACACAAAAATCAAGGGGGGGGTGGGGAATCACCCCTAGACAAGGCCTTAAGTTTTTTATCAAACAAAAATGATAGATTTATCATATTTTTAAAGAGAACATAAGTTGTTTACAATAAATTGGTAAAAAAGTAATAATATTTACTAAGTAAAGATATAAAAAAAATAAAAAATAAATGGGGCAGAAGACCTACCCCGCCCCGTCCCGTACCGTCCCGCTTTAAACGGGTATGGGGATGGAGTAAGGCAACAAAAATATCCGATGGGATGAGGATGGGGATGAGAATGACCGACCCATCCCATACACACCCCGTTACCATTCCTATTTGTGGCAGACTAACGGATTCATCCAAGTTAACGTTAAAAGTGAATGTTAATCTTTGCATGTTTAACTTGTGAAGGAAAGGTGGAAGCAACTCGTTCCTTCCTTTTGAAGGGCACTAGAGGTTCGGAAAGC